GGGGGAGCTCTGGACAGAGGGCAGAGCTGGGCGGTGGCATGAGGTGACATGCAGTGACTGAACTTCGGGAAGTAATGCAGGGAAGCTGAGGAGGCGTGGGGGGGTCCAGGTGCTCGGGGCCCTGGCACAGGCTGGTGCACGCTGGGGCTAAGGGGAAAGGAGGGGAGAGGCTGAGCAGGAGGCTCCCAGGGGCTCTTCTAAAGCAGGTGGTTCCAGGGCCTGGGGCTGAGGGGCGCCAGCCTGTGCAGTGCCTGGCACCTCTGCTGCACAGAAGACAAGGGCCCTGGAGGGCAGAGGGCAGAGGGCAGGCTCTGACCAGGACCCTGGGCAAGTCAGACCCACTCACTACAGGGGGCCACGCTGGAGTAGCAGGGTCAGAGCTGAGGGGGTCGGGGAGCCCACCAGAAGCCACTAGGGAACAGTGGTCACTGGTCAAGCCAGGCACCCACAAAAGGCTGGAGTGGGGCTGATGGGCATGAGCTGTGCCTGAGGGGGCACCGGTGACCAGAGCCGAGGCCAAGCTAGAGGCCCTGGGCTGTGCTGACTCCGAGCAGGCACGGAGCACTGTCCCAGCAGCCGAGCTCACCTCCCAGGCTACAGGGGTGCCTGCAGCAGGACACCACAGGGCCGCTGGTCCACAAGCTTTCCGGGGCACGCTGGGCCTGACCTTGGCCTCGGGGCAGGGAGGAGGCTAAGGTAAAGCAGGTGGCACCAGCCAGGTACACACCCAGACACTGGACCCTGCCTGGACCCTCGTGGAGGGACAGGAACAAAGGGACCTCTGGGACCTGGACCCAGCTCTGTCCCACACTGTGGTCACACGGTGCCACCTCTCTTGCAGCCTCCAACAAGAAACCAGACGTCTTCCCCCTGATGCCCTGCGGCACCTCTGGGACCACAACGGCCCTGGGCTGCCTGGTCAAGGACTACTTCCCCCAGCCGGTGACCGTGTCCTGGAACTCGGGCGCCCTGACCAGCGGCGTGCACACCTTCCCGGCTGTCCTGCAGTCCTCGGGGCTCTACTCCCTCAGCAGCATGGTGACCACCAGCAGCGCGGGCAGCCAGACGTACACCTGCAACGTTGTCCACACGCCCACCAGCTTCAAGAAGGACCTGATAGTGAAACCTCGTGAGTGGACCGCGCAGGGAGGGAGGCTGTCTGCGGGAAGACAGGCTCAGTCCTCCTGCCTGGACACACCACAGGGGAGCAGCCGCAGAGGCCCAGTCTGTCTCCTCACCCATGGGCCTTGTCTGCCCCACTCATGCTCAGGGAGAGGGTCTTCTGGCTGCTTCCACCAGGCTCCGGGCAGGCACAGGCTGGATGCCCCTAGCCCAGGCCGTGCGCACACAGGCGCAGAGGCTGGTCTCAGGCCTGCCAAGAGCCATATCCGGGAGGAGCCTGGCCCTGACCTGAGCCCACCCCAAAGGACAAACTGTCCCCTCCCTCAGCATGGACACCTTCTCGCCTCCCAGACCCCAGTAACTCCCCCTCTTCTCTCTGCAGGTGGCACACCCTGTCCGCCATGCCCAGGTAAGCCAGCCCAGGCCTCGCCCTCCAGCTCAAGGTGGGACTAGTGCCTAGAGGGACCTCCATCCAGGGACAGGCCCCAGCTGGATGCTGACGCGTCCGCCTCCATCTCTTCCTCAGCACCTGATTTCCTGGGGGGACCGTCAGTCTTCCTCTTCCCCCCGAAACCCAAGGACATCCTCAGGATCTCCGGGAGCCCTGAGGTCACGTGCGTGGTGGTGGACGTGAGCCAGGACGACCCCGAGGTCCAGTTCAACTGGTACGTGGACAACGTGGAGGTGCGCACTGCCAAGACGAGTCCAAGGGAGGAGCAGTTCAACAGCACGTTCCGCGTGGTCAGCGCCCTCCCCGTCGTGCACCAGGACTGGCTGAAGGGCAAGGAGTACAAATGCAAGGTCACCAACAAAGCCCTCCCGGCCCCCGTCCAGAAAACCATCCGCAAAGCCAAAGGTGGGAGCCGTGCGAGGGCCGTGTGGACAGAGGCCGGCCCAGCCCACCCTCTGCCCCGGGACTGACCGCCGTGCCCACCTCTGTCCCCACAGGAACGCCCCGAGAGCCACAGGTGTACACCCTGCCCCCATCGCGGGAGGAGATGAGCAGGAGCCAGGTCAGCCTGACCTGCCTGATCCAGGGCTTCTACCCCAGCGACATCGCCGTGGAGTGGGAGAGCAACGGGCAGCCGGAGAACAACTACAAGAACACGCAGCCTGTGCTGGACTCGGACGGCTCCTTCTTCCTCTACAGCAAGCTCACCGTGGACAAGCACAGGTGGCAGCAGGGGACCGTCTTCTCGTGCTCCGTGATGCACGAGGCTCTGCACAACCACTACACGCAGAAGAGCCTCTCCGCGTCTCCGGGTAAATGAGTGTGACACCCGGCAGGCCCCGCTCCCCAGCCTCTCGGGGTCCCGCGAGGGTGCCTGTCACACACCCCGTGTACATACCCCCCAGGCGCCCGGCATGGAAATAAAGCACCCAGCGCTGCCCTGGGCCCCTTCGAGACTGTGATGGTTCTTTCCGTGGGTCAGGCCGAGTCTGAGACCTGAGTGGTACGAGGAAGGCAGAGTGGGTCCCACTGCCCCCACACTGGCCCAGGCTGTGCAGGCGTGCCTGGGCCACCTAGGGTGGGGTTCAGCCAGGGGCTGCCCAAAATGGGGTGGGGGGCTTTGTCAGCGTGCCCCTCCTTCCAGCAGCAGCTGTCCTAGGCTGGACAAAGAGAGGCCCTAGGAGCCCCCTGGGCACAGGCACACAGCCTCCACCTCTGAAGAGACAGGCCCTCCCTCCCCAACCTCCCCCACCGCATGAAGCCCAGGCAGCCCTGCCCAGCCTTGCACCCACATGGGGACACAACTGACTCCCAGGGAGGGACTGTTCCAGATGCCCACACACACACTCACACCCAGCCCAGACTCATACTCACCTATACATACTCACACAGCCCAGACTCACATCCACACACACACTCACACTCAGCCCAGACACACACACAGCCCAGACTCACACTCACACTCACCCACACACATTCACACAGCCAACTCACACACACACTCAGCCCAGACTCACATACACACACATACACACACACTCAGCCCAGACTCAGTCACACTCACCCACACACACTCACACAGCCCAGACTCACACATTCACCCGCACAACCAGCCCAGACTCACATACACACACATGCACACACACTCAGCCCAGACTCACACTCACACCCACACACCCAGCCCAGACTCACATACCCACACACACTCACACTCAGCCCAGACACAATCACCCACACACACCCAGTGCAGACTCACCCATACACACTCACACTCAACCCAGACTCACATCTACACTCAGCAAACACACACACACACTGAACACAGACTCCTACCCACACTCACCCACACACAACCCAGACTCCCACTCACACCACACACAGCCCAGACTCCCATTCACACACACACACTCACACTCAGCTGACTCACATACCCACATACACACTCAGTGCAGACTCCCACTCACACACACACACTCACACTCAGCCCAAACTCACATACCCACGTACACACACTCAGCCCAGACTCACACTCACACACACTCTCACACTCAGCCTAGACTCACACTCATACCCACTCACACATTTACACAGCCCACACTCACACTCACACTCAGCCCAGACCCATTCCACAAACCTTGTATGGAGGCTGGCCGGCCACTCAGCCACCACACACACATGTACACCCCACACGGAGCCTCACCAGGCAGCCTGCACAGCACCCAGACCATAGCAAGGTCCCCACACAGCAACACTCCTTGGACATGGGCCCCCACGAGCCCCATGTGGCACCTCAAGGCCCATGAGCCTCTCAGCAGCCTGTCCACCTGCTGACCAGCTCAGGCAAACCCAGCCCCGCCCTCACAAGGGGCCCTGCAGCCACCCCCCCACACACGGACCCCCACCCACAGAGGCACCCACACCTGCTCACTTCCCTGGCACCGGCCCACTTCCAATAACACCCTTCCCGGCAGCTGGGTGTCACATAGGGGGTGGGCTTTGCCATCCTCCTCGCCCTCTGGGCCTCAGGGAGGGGTGCAGGGGATGGGGAGTGGGTCCCGCTGAGGGCCAGTCCGCTCTCTAGGGCCAGGTGTCTGGCCGAGCCATGGGGTCAAAGCTCGTGACATGGGGGCAGGCAGCTGTGGGGAGCAGACCTCAGGGCACCGATGGGCCCATCCCAGCCACGCCCTACACCCCAGGCCCCACCACATAGGGAATCACCCCCGAGGCCTGAGCCCAGCGGGACACAGCACTCGACCACCCTCTTCCTGTACAGAGCTGATACTTGGAGGAGAGCTGTGTGGAGGCGCAGGACGGGGAGCTGGACGGGCTGTGGACGACCATCACTATCTTCATCACACTCTTCCTGCTGAGTGTGTGCTACAGTGCCACTGTCACC